AATGTTGAGCGCTTTTTTAGTTTAAATTTAGATAAGGAGAAATTGATAAATAAATTTGCAAACTCCCCACCAACTTAACAGCGTCTGCTAATGTAATGCAACATGTATACATGTATACCTTTGTATCTGTAACACTCTTAAATTTAACAAAAATTAAATTATGACCAAAAAGTCTGACTTTTTTAAAAACGTTTTTTTTTTGGGGGGGGGGGGGTAGGCAGATTTGGGTTAGGAGGCCCTTTTCGTGACGTAGCGGCCAGGGCTCTTACCCTCCCAGTCCGGCCCTGATAGCACTGGATCAACATCGGGGTCCCTGGCGGCCGCTCTGAGTTCCCAGATTCAACTGCGATCCGCGTCAGCAAGCGTTGTTTGGTGGCCCCTAGATTTTGCACAGGGTCGCTACGAGGTCAAAACGATTTTTAGAGAGTGCAACCTCTGAAATCACAGACGTCGACTTTCTTTTTGATTGATGATCTGGCTACTTCAATGAAAACCCTTGAATAGCAGACGAAAATTCCAAGGATTTCCCTTGAAAGCTACGGGTTTCAAGACAGAGTCTGGGATTTCAATGACCAATCTTGACATAATCCACCCGACCTTGAAATCCCAGAAATTTCCTGGGATTTCAATACATTCTTTTTACCATGACTAGCCGAGCGCAGCTGGGGATTAACATGGTGGTCTCTCTCGCGGCCGTTTCGAGTTCTCAACTTCAAATGCGATCCGGGCCAGGAAAGCGTTGTCTGGTTGCGCCCAGATTTTGTACACTGTGTTTACAAGTTCCATACAATTTTCAGAAAGTGCAACCCCGATTGCTATTTTTTTTGGATACAGGCTAACAAACATCAAAACAGCTGGCTGCGACGGAACAAGCTTCAATACTGGGGCGGATGCGGGTGCTCTTGCTTGCCTAGAGGGGGAACTTCAGCGACCACTACAGCGAAATTTATGCTTCCTCCACGCCAAACGAGCTCCCTTCCAGACGCCTCTTGAAAACGCTAGATGGCCCAACCAGTGGACCGATGTAGATCACAGGGCCAATAGGGAAGCAGCTCGAGAAATGCGAAGATATAGCTGCCGTTCTGTTCCATCGAATACCGGTGGACAACCCTCCGGTGGCAAACCTCTAGATGTTGAACACCTCAACTGGGAACAAAAGCACCTGTATCACCTGTGCCAAACCATTTCTACCGG